AAAAAAAAAAAAAAAAAAGGAACGCCAACGAAAACTCCATACTATACAAGGCAAAATTGTAAGCGAAATAAATATTTAAAGAAAATAAGTCGTCGAGCATAGAGAATAAAGCGGCGTAAACAAGAGGAGAATTGGTGTAGTGGTTAACTACCGTTTTTCTTTTTTTTTATCAAAAAAGAGGGATGGGGGGTGCTTGCCATTGGACGAATTTATAACGGCGCCAAAGCTATATAGTGACAGAAGCGACTCGTCAGCTTGAAGGGGTGAAGCCAGAGCTCTAAATCGAATTAACCAGCGATTTTAATTAGGCTGAGTAAATCTTTCGGTTCCATCCTCTCTTTCATTTCAAACTTAGTAAAATTATGTGCAAAAACTAAAAGGGCATATATTAAATTGACCTTGAAATCAATCAAATTTCGCATTGGTCATATGGGAGGGGGTTGAGTAGGATTTTGCCAACTTTTCAAATCATTGTCTGCTATTTTGATGAATTTTATAATTTTCATTTTTCGGTTTTTTTAGATAGGTAAAGTAATCATAGGAATATTTATAAAAAAAATCACGTTTTTTTTTCAAAGAGAAGACACTTTTCGATACACAATTCGCTATGCAAAACATTAGTTGTCTATCGATAAATAATTAGAACAGAATTTTTGCAAGATTTCTTGTTAGAAACTCCTCTACCTATTCTTTTTTATAATCATAAACTCAAAATTGCATTCAGAAATAATGAAGGGTAAACATTTTAGACAATAGCGTTTGAGAAATCTCTCGCCAAAATTTAAAAAAGGATATTTTTAAATTTCCCAACATAATGTTACACGATCTCAATTGAAAATTTGGATATTATAACGTAAACCCTTAAAAATTTTCACCCAATGAGTGTTTTTTATTCGAAAAATCAAAAGTGATACTTTTGGATTGAACCTGACACATTAGCCACCAGGCCTACCCGGAAATAAAAAATATGAATTAGAAATCGAATTAATTAATATTATTAAGAGTTGGTTTGTTTGATAGAGGCAAAAGGGTGAGGCGTACATTAATGAAAATAGGAAAAGATGAATTCTCTGATACAAATTCGTGAGTAGCTATGTGTTCTTGTGCATATTAAAAAGAGGTTCTCGAAAAAGGGGAATATGTTTATTCAGCAGAGGACATTGCCTGGAAATGCAAATGAAATGGAAAATGCATGCCGGTTAAAGATACTTTTCCGTTATTGCTTATTCTGGCTTAAAAGTTAACACGTCCGCTAGGTATGTCGAAATGTGTTACAAAATTACAAAAGTAAACACGTTTTATACAAGGAAAATCAATATCCTTGTATTAAATAACAAATAACGAAATATACATACATAAGGAAGAAATTTTCTGACGGAATAATTTTGATTTTTGACGGGTTCAACTAGAAAGGAAAACTACCTTTGAAAAGAAAAGCTGACGTGCAAATCGTTGATCATCATCATCTCAGGGTCGTCAGTCCAAAGACTAGATCGACATGCACCTCTAATCTAATTTAAGTTGATTTAGGTCTACCTCTACTTTTTTTAACTCTTGTTTCTGCTTCTAATATGTCTCTTACTACACCTTCATGCCTGAGAAGGTGTCCTACCAACCTAATTCGCCTATTTTTTATTGACTTCCATATCACCCTCTGTTCTCTTATCCTTTCTAACCTTCTCTATCACCGAAATATTCATTATTTGCCTTTAATAACACCACATTTCGAACGCTTCTAACTTTTTCTTTTCCGCTGCGTCCATCGTCCATGTATTGCACCCGTACAACGCCGCGCTCCAGACATAAACTTTTAACAATCTTTTTCGAATTTCTAAATTAACCGTTCGCTGATTTATTAGGCATTCATTCTTTACGTTGATATGTTATATGTAAGTTAATCCAGGACTTTCAACGTTTTTATAAAATTGCATATTGTTTGATTTTCATACATTCCCAACTTCACTGATGACTTTGAGACTATAAGGGTTCCATTTAATAAAATTTTATATCAAATAAAAATGTTAAGAGGAAATTTCTTACTAAAAGCATTTCAGTTTGTTTCGATTTTCAACATACCTCGTACATTTATAAAATGCTTAGAAAAAAAGTAAAGGAAGAAATCATTTGGAATATGAGGTGTCGCGTTATGTTGCCGTTAATCCTGATAAAATTGCGTTTCGGGAGCGTTATAGAAGCATTGGTATTCACTGCGAAACTTGGCGCAAAAAGTCTGAAAAAACTCCTTGTCCCTGATCACATATTTCATATATGTAGAGGGCTGTTTTGCTTGCGACGGCAATATTATTTCCATATTTTTCACATAATGCGCTTCTGTATATGGGTTTTATTTCATGTGACATCATGGTAATGCATTTTAACGTGTTATCATTCATTGTGGTGTCTTGGCAACTCTTTATGCTGAGATCGCGATAAATATTTGCCAAACAGTTGACCAATAATCAAATTTTTTTTATCCCAACTTTATCGTTACTCATTTTTGACGACGCGCTGGGATTATCAGACATGGTACCTACCTAAAATAAGTTTAAGCAATAAGTTATTTAGGGTTTTAGAGTTAAAGAGCGTATTATATAAGGCTTTTGAGATGCCATAATTAGGTTTTTTGTTTTGCGACCGTTTTCGCATAGTGGGCAGCGAAGCGCGTGAGTGGCAGCGGTAGATGTGGGGGTGTGCTAAAGGCGGCCGGAGGGGGGGTGAATGTGGGGCCGAAGTCGGCCAGCTAGCACGTGAACTTTGGCCCCCTATTAGCCACGGCATCGTCTTATGCAACCGATTGAAGGGGCGAACGTAAAACAGTGCGGCGAGGGTGAAAGAAGAACAATGAAATCAGTAGGAGAGCCGGGCACAAAATAAAAAACTTCATCCGAATAATTCTTCGAAGAAAAATACACTTGAGTAAATATCTGTATCTGTGATGAGCTGCCGGGACGGATATTTACACGAAGAGCCGGCGTTAGCAATTTAAATATAAAAGACTTGCGAGTTAGTCGAGCACACTCACGAGGCGGCCTGGTCGAAATCGTACTAAGATAAAATGTAAAACAAAAACTGTGGCAACACCACCACAGTTAGTTGTATCTAATAAAACTTTAGTGATTTTAATTTCCCGAACGTTACTACTCGGATAATTGCAATGCAAAATAACGGCGACTGGCGAGTAAGGTCACACAGCGTGTACTAGCCCATTTTCATAAAAAGGAAAACATTTGTATGAGTCGATTATCTGCTAAAGATTCGGCTATTATTTACATGCCTACTCGTATAACATACCCCATATTTAATAGTTTTTAGGTGTCATGAATTATTCGTCATGGTCATCAGTCCTAAGACTGGTTGGACACGTACCTCCACTCTTTCCTGTCCTGAGCTAAACTTCGCATTTCCCTAAAACTAGAACAGCCCACATCCTTAACTATTTGCGAACAGNTATTTCCGAACGTATTTTATGAACGACCCCCATGTATCTTTTAAAAATATTTACATTTATTATTATAAACATGGACCAATATGGGTAAGAATGCCAAAGTTGTTAGTCATTAATAAAATACTCTCATGAAACCTTACTTCATAAAAGCTTGCACGTCTTCACAAATAACTTCACAACCTGGCCATTTGCAGACACCATGGCCATACAAATGTTGAATTTTGTCCGGCGTGTTAGTGCCATCGGCTTTTTCTTCCCCTGGGACCTCCTCCCTGTTTGTCCTACTTGGTGTTAAGCCACCTATAAGCCCTAAAAAGAGCCGTTATTGTAGAGAATCAAAAGCTATGCGACTCATTTCCACTGCAAATTGTCCAAAAGTACTGGCGAATTAGGTGCTTAAGAACGAGCCAATTAACTACCCATTTCATCGCAAGACGTAGAATGCGTCTTTAAAACGTACTCTATTTTTTTTTTAAATTTGCATAAGAAAGACTAATTATGTCTTTTAAATCGTACTTAAATTTCGCGTTGTCTTCTTTTTGTTAGAAAATTTTGAATTTGCGCATTGAACCTATTGTAATTTAATATTGAAATCTTTCTTACCATTTACGTCTGATATGGGTTTACTATTTGGAAGAGATGAAGGAATTTCTATGCTAGGGTCTTTCCATGGACTCATCACATCCCTATTGTTCAAGCCTGCGATAAAATTTACTGCAGCAGTTTTTAATAGTAATTGTTATTGAAGTTCTATACAAGTAAAACAACAGAAGTAATAACCGAAAATTGTTAAAATTACGTCTTTTTGTCTTATACGCATATTTAGGTATTAATTAATTAATTAATATTAAGTTAAACAAAGTATAATTAAACAGAACATGCAACGTTAATTATCAAAAAGTGAAGATTGGCGAACATACGTACGTTTTTAACTACGTACTTACAGTAATGTTTTAATTACATTGCCTTTGTGCATGGATATTTTATTTAATCTAATGTACAATTTATTATGCGAAAGTTTCAGGAACTAATTCAAAATAGCCGCTTATCACCATCTTCTATGCGAGCCAGCTCGCGACCAATAGGATCATCCCATTCAGTCGCGAACTAACACTATCTATGAAATTAGCCATTACTTATTTGTGATTCTGAGAAAGGTGGCCAGAATGAGCAGTTCGCGTGGCATGTGTCTGACGGTTTTGCAAATTTTTTAATGTTAAAAACAATAAAACGGGGTTGAAACGTGTGTGTATGTAGTGTTAGTGATCGTATTAAATTCCGACAAGACTCAGACACTGCCAGAAATAAACATTTAACTCTAAGTTAAGAACTTTAAAAAAGCCGGTAGAGGTACACGTGTATGTGTGGTAAGTACATTTTACTGTATTGATATTGTATTGAATATTTATTTCGTACCTCACCATATATAAACTGTGAATCAAATAATAACAGTTTTAATGGTAATTATGATTTGTTGCGATTAAAGCATATAATGTCGATTTCGTCGCAGTTTTAGTTGCTACAAATCGCAAAAAGAAAATGGCTGTCGCCATCTTCTTATCCACAGGTTGCTGTTAGAAGAAATACAAATTTTAAAAGCAAACTTATTAACATTAATATGTAGAGGCAAAGGTATTAGTTTTCTAAAAGTTTGGATTGTGAGATAGATTAAGGGAATTTTTATTCAAGCAAACTAAATTTGAAAAGATATATCAACATTCTAAGGATATTTTAGAAAAAAGTTGATTTCTTAATTTAAAAAGCTTCACGTGCGTTAAAACCGAAGGTGTTGAGGTCGGACGGATTCCAGCGAAAGGATAAAATAGGGGAGCGATGTGGAGAAATTAGGGGATGAGGGACGGGCAAGTGCCAACAGTTTTACCACACGTGAAGCCCAGACATCCATCTTTTCCTAATCAGCTTCTTTTTCCTTTCGGGGGGTGATAAAAACGATTGATTCAAAAGCGGCATCAATAGTGGCATTGCCCAGTTTCTAAGGTTTTGTAATGGGAGAAATTTGGACAGGCATCAGGAGGGTGTACCTACCTCGCTGGAATACGTCCACCTCACACATCTTCCGGCAATTTCAGTTTCTCACTTGAAGCTTTCTTCAAAATGATATTTGCAAAATATTTACATGCATTATAATTCACTTTTGAAACTGATTTTAAATGAATTTACTCTTGATTCATTTTAATTCGTAAATGATATTTTGATTTTTATGATAGTTAAAGAATAACCATAATAGTTCTTCGAACTTCTTGATTGTGTTGTTCTTCCTTGAAGGATCCTCAATCAGGTATGTAGGTAAGTTTGTTTTGAGAGAATAGTGAGCAACATGCTTTATTTTCGTAAAAGTGATAAGCCTCTTTTTTGGTTACGCCTATAAGTACCTAATACGTACGTTTATTTTAAATGATTATATTAAATACGCTACTAGCAAACATCTAAAACAAAAAGCGACTTACCGGACCCTTGTACGAGCATCATAGGTTGCATCCCCATTCCTTGATGCACAACATACTGCCGTTGAATGAGTTGTAACTGCTGAATTAATTGCTGCTGTTGCAAAGCTAATTGCTGTAAAGAAGCAGAAGCCTTTTTCTTATCTGTACTTTGTAAAATCTGCGTTTGTTGAATGAGATTAAGTTGCAGTTGTTCTTGTAATTGTTGAATTGTTTGCTCGATCTGTTTCTTCCCTAATTCGGCTAATTGTTGATGCTGTAACAAAGATCCGCCAGTTAGACGTTGTACATGTTGAGTTGAATAGCTCATTGTTTTTAACCTGCTGATGATGTTGCTGTTGTAAGACAGAATGTTGTTTCATTAAGGTCGACAGTTGCGAAGGACTTAGTACGTGTTGTTGTAAAAGTTGTTGCATGTGATGATGTAGTCCAGAAACAGGAGACCCTATCATCTGAGATCCTGGTGTGAGTTGAGCCTTAAAAATATTCAAAAACTTAGACGATTGTTGACGATAAATCGAAGATTCGTGAAGTACCTGCGTGGCAGGTATGGATGCTCCCAGAACTTTTTGTGCATCCGCAGCAGGCGGGGGTGATAATTCGTGCACCCTGTGCTCTGAAGTCGGACTTGTCTCTCCATTCCCTTTAATTTCTTTTTCTCTATCCCAAGCGCGCTCCAGCTCCAACTGTTGTTGTTGCTGTTGCTCTTTCAATACTTTTTCTAACGAGGCAGCTTGCTGGAATAAATTCAAGTCAGTCAAAGCTGGATGTACGTATAATCATATGATTGATGTAGATAATTGTTCTTTACAAATCTTCAAAAGTTTTGTTTTAATCTTCATTGAGTGTTTTGCTTTTTGTTCTTCTAATTCAGCGTCGTTTCGGAAAACGTATTCCATAAAATTTATTTAAGCAAAATTCCGTCAACGATAAATAAGATTGATTTCCTTTCCCAAGTCCTATTTGGTTGTAAGGAAGCAATGTATCTTAGGGCAATGGCTCGGCCATAATGCTAGCTAGTAGCTACACCTTTTCAGATATCCCTGGATTAATACGGACGAATTGAAAACGGCTAATATTTTATGTACGTATTTTACTTCTGGTCAACTGCATGTTTTATATGCGGTTACAGTTAATTTATTGAACGTAGGGGCGGAAGAGGGCTGATTTACTACGACTAAATATAAATAAATTTAAAAATAACGATGATTCAGTTAATACTCGCTAAATATATGGGCGCATTTATAAAAATTTAAATTTGAGAAAAAAAAAACAAGTTATTGTGACACCCTTGCAGTTAGATTACACCGCAGAGCATTCGTGCATAACGGTTGCAGAACCTGCTTCGCGTTCTCCAATTGATATGTATGGATAAGTTATAATTTCGATTTCAGAATTTGTTTTAGTAGTGTAAAATGCAAAATAAATTTTCCTTTTGTATTTTAAATGCCAAATACAAAATACGTATCTTCAAATAAATACTTTTTTGTAGTATCTATTTAATTTTCTACATTTACTTAAGTAGGTATAAAATATTTTTTAAGAAAACCTTGTAGGCATTTGCTCATTTTTTAAATATTAGAGTTTTTCTAAACTGATAGTGGTGTTTGAACTAGTGCGATTCATATTTTTCTATTTGGTGATTGAGATATAGTTTTTCTATTTTTACATTATAGTTTCTTCAGTTTAGCAACAAATAATTCTTCTATATGCTTCTTTATTTGTCTTTGTCACCTGTTTTAATTGGAAAGACACTCATGCCAAAATATTTTGTTTACCGTGAAAGATCAGAGCCAAAATACGGTTGCAAATAGTTTTATTGATGTAAAATCAACATCAATCATTTTATATCAAAATATTTTGTTTTTGATCTTTTACACATTGTAATAACAAAAAGAAATGGAATCAATAGTTTCTTTAGGTTTGGGTTCATCTAATAAGTGAAGTTTTTGGGATCGTTTTTGAAGAATTTTGGGTTATAATTTTTAGAGCAACTCTAGCTGGAACTACCCCCGAATGTGTATCCCCTTTCGGATAAAAAAATAGCCAGCATCCTAAAGTTGTAAGGTAGAAAGTGAATTTCGGGAGTGTAAAGTAGTCGGGGGTAGTTCTAGCTAGAGGTGCTGTAAAAACTCGGGATTCGTACGTAAGTTTGCGCTTTTTAAGTCTATGACACACTGAATATCCTGGTTTGGGTAAAAATTGCCAGCATCTTAGTTCTGGAATGAAAATATACCTTTCGGGTTAGTTCTGCTAATAACTATTGCAAATATTCGCGCTTATTTACTCACAAGTCAATCTTTAGTAACTATTGATATTTTTCATTTAACTTCTAAACAATCGAGTTCTCGCGAAAATGCAAGAGGGGTTATCAATAGATCAATATATGTTTAGGAACTACCCACAACTACGACCTAAACTTGATATTTTCATATTTTAGGTAAAGTTTTTTTGCGAAAACCATCAGGAACTCTAGAACTCTTTTATTTCTTATCTTTGTTAGCTATCAGAACTCTTTCTCTATTATAAAAGGATGTTTCTTGAAGTTAGCACCCTGAAATTTAATTTTTGTTTTATTTTATTATTAAAAACGCAGAACTATCGGCGCACCCCTTCTAGAACCATAAAACTACCACTAAGAAATTCAGAACTTACAAAAAATTCAAACTTGATGAATTAGGACTATCAGTATCCCAGCGAGAATTATTAGTAATAGTTTGTTGATGCTGCTGATGTAGGTAGATCAGTAGATAATTTAGTGTGGTAATTTATGAAAATTAAGAAGTAAAAGAGGATCGAGCAATCCCTTTAAAATATTTTACTTATGCAGCAAACTTAGCAAATTATGACGGCGACGTAAAGTAGAGGGGATGCCGCTTGATTGGATAAATGTAATAAGGCCCTAGCTGCCTTCAAACAAAGACGAGAAACAGAGGGTCGTCCGTTATTGTGTTTTCCCTGTATTAATGATTCAATATCAATTAGCGGTACGCTGAATTATATAAACTTAATCTTCGTGCCGAAAGAAAAAAAAAAAAAAGGAACGCCAACGAAAACTCCATACTATACAAGGCAAAATTGTAAGCGAAATAAATATTTAAAGAAAATAAGTCGTCGAGCATAGAGAATAAAGCGGCGTAAACAAGAGGAGAATTGGTGTAGTGGTTAACTACCGTTTTTCTTTTTTTTTATCAAAAAAGAGGGATGGGGGGTGCTTGCCATTGGACGAATTTATAACGGCGCCAAAGCTATATAGTGACAGAAGCGACTCGTCAGCTTGAAGGGGTGAAGCCAGAGCTCTAAATCGAATTAACCAGCGATTTTAATTAGGCTGAGTAAATCTTTCGGTTCCATCCTCTCTTTCATTTCAAACTTAGTAAAATTATGTGCAAAAACTAAAAGGGCATATATTAAATTGACCTTGAAATCAATCAAATTTCGCATTGGTCATATGGGAGGGGGTTGAGTAGGATTTTGCCAACTTTTCAAATCATTGTCTGCTATTTTGATGAATTTTATAATTTTCATTTTTCGGTTTTTTTAGATAGGTAAAGTAATCATAGGAATATTTATAAAAAAAATCACGTTTTTTTTTCAAAGAGAAGACACTTTTCGATACACAATTCGCTATGCAAAACATTAGTTGTCTATCGATAAATAATTAGAACAGAATTTTTGCAAGATTTCTTGTTAGAAACTCCTCTACCTATTCTTTTTTATAATCATAAACTCAAAATTGCATTCAGAAATAATGAAGGGTAAACATTTTAGACAATAGCGTTTGAGAAATCTCTCGCCAAAATTTAAAAAAGGATATTTTTAAATTTCCCAACATAATGTTACACGATCTCAATTGAAAATTTGGATATTATAACGTAAACCCTTAAAAATTTTCACCCAATGAGTGTTTTTTATTCGAAAAATCAAAAGTGATACTTTTGGATTGAACCTGACACATTAGCCACCAGGCCTACCCGGAAATAAAAAATATGAATTAGAAATCGAATTAATTAATATTATTAAGAGTTGGTTTGTTTGATAGAGGCAAAAGGGTGAGGCGTACATTAATGAAAATAGGAAAAGATGAATTCTCTGATACAAATTCGTGAGTAGCTATGTGTTCTTGTGCATATTAAAAAGAGGTTCTCGAAAAAGGGGAATATGTTTATTCAGCAGAGGACATTGCCTGGAAATGCAAATGAAATGGAAAATGCATGCCGGTTAAAGATACTTTTCCGTTATTGCTTATTCTGGCTTAAAAGTTAACACGTCCGCTAGGTATGTCGAAATGTGTTACAAAATTACAAAAGTAAACACGTTTTATACAAGGAAAATCAATATCCTTGTATTAAATAACAAATAACGAAATATACATACATAAGGAAGAAATTTTCTGACGGAATAATTTTGATTTTTGACGGGTTCAACTAGAAAGGAAAACTACCTTTGAAAAGAAAAGCTGACGTGCAAATCGTTGATCATCATCATCTCAGGGTCGTCAGTCCAAAGACTAGATCGACATGCACCTCTAATCTAATTTAAGTTGATTTAGGTCTACCTCTACTTTTTTTAACTCTTGTTTCTGCTTCTAATATGTCTCTTACTACACCTTCATGCCTGAGAAGGTGTCCTACCAACCTAATTCGCCTATTTTTTATTGACTTCCATATCACCCTCTGTTCTCTTATCCTTTCTAACCTTCTCTATCACCGAAATATTCATTATTTGCCTTTAATAACACCACATTTCGAACGCTTCTAACTTTTTCTTTTCCGCTGCGTCCATCGTCCATGTATTGCACCCGTACAACGCCGCGCTCCAGACATAAACTTTTAACAATCTTTTTCGAATTTCTAAATTAACCGTTCGCTGATTTATTAGGCATTCATTCTTTACGTTGATATGTTATATGTAAGTTAATCCAGGACTTTCAACGTTTTTATAAAATTGCATATTGTTTGATTTTCATACATTCCCAACTTCACTGATGACTTTGAGACTATAAGGGTTCCATTTAATAAAATTTTATATCAAATAAAAATGTTAAGAGGAAATTTCTTACTAAAAGCATTTCAGTTTGTTTCGATTTTCAACATACCTCGTACATTTATAAAATGCTTAGAAAAAAAGTAAAGGAAGAAATCATTTGGAATATGAGGTGTCGCGTTATGTTGCCGTTAATCCTGATAAAATTGCGTTTCGGGAGCGTTATAGAAGCATTGGTATTCACTGCGAAACTTGGCGCAAAAAGTCTGAAAAAACTCCTTGTCCCTGATCACATATTTCATATATGTAGAGGGCTGTTTTGCTTGCGACGGCAATATTATTTCCATATTTTTCACATAATGCGCTTCTGTATATGGGTTTTATTTCATGTGACATCATGGTAATGCATTTTAACGTGTTATCATTCATTGTGGTGTCTTGGCAACTCTTTATGCTGAGATCGCGATAAATATTTGCCAAACAGTTGACCAATAATCAAATTTTTTTTATCCCAACTTTATCGTTACTCATTTTTGACGACGCGCTGGGATTATCAGACATGGTACCTACCTAAAATAAGTTTAAGCAATAAGTTATTTAGGGTTTTAGAGTTAAAGAGCGTATTATATAAGGCTTTTGAGATGCCATAATTAGGTTTTTTGTTTTGCGACCGTTTTCGCATAGTGGGCAGCGAAGCGCGTGAGTGGCAGCGGTAGATGTGGGGGTGTGCTAAAGGCGGCCGGAGGGGGGG